TGTCATAAAGTTTGTCTTGTTGGCCTTGTGGTAAATTTAAATCATCGGTGTTTTCAATTTTTTCTTTGCTCTTGCATGACAGAACGAAGACCATTTTTGAGGTAGTATATCGTCCCGATGTGGTGCTTTTTTTGGAGAGATCGATTGTACCATTATAGTGACGATTTGAACCTTAGAGAAAGATTCATTATCTACTTTCGTACCAAAAAGTTTGAGATGTTTATTTTTTATGTATTTATGTATGATCATCCTGAAGTGGAAACAATTTGCAGTGGCATGTCGAAAATAAATTGTGTCATTTTTAATATATTCGTCATTTGACTTCCTAGGGAGAAGCTAATTTCTAACCGTTAAGGATCCATATTTAATGGTCCTTTAGTAACTCATCAAAAATTGCATCTGCTTGAGTGATATCGGATTAACCATCCTCGTTCAGTATCTTAGACACGTCTTTATCATTTGAAGGCTTAAGATTAGAACAAGTGTAAAACTTGTCTGATACCAATTATGTTGTAGCCTTCTCAATAATATTCGGAAATTTATGCCAATTTATCGTAGCTTCTACATTAGTTACAACAATCTAGTATTTTTGTTCACCTCTGGTCTCTTTCTCACAAAAGAGACGCTCCAGACGTGTGGCCTTGGTTGTTAATTGTTCCAAGTCTTCCTGTTCATCAGCTGTGAGGGGGTTTTGAAGATGCGGCTGCATGTTTCTAATTACGATATTAGTAAATTTAGATTCACTGATGATTACAGACACTGAGCCCTAGTCCACCAGATTTTTCCAATAAAAGAAGTGGCTGACTCACCGAATTCTTGTTTTTCGATATGTGAGCATAGTTTCTGGTATAGGACTATAAAATCTGTCATGAAACTCTCGCTCCATCCTAGTCCAATTTTGTATGGAGTCAGTGTGGGGGGACGAATACCATGTAAAGGCTGTTCTAGTCGAAGTTAGATGGAATAATTGCAACTTATAAAATTCATTTAGAGACAATTCCCAAATAAGTACGTGAATCTTACAATGTGTTCAACTGATGACTGGCCATCTTCTCTGGAAAACATAAGGGATTCCAAAATTCTAACTTGTTGAGACACTGGATAATTGAGCTCTACCCATTCCAGAAAAGGTTTCCGATATACAAGTTCGTGCGGCCCTTGGTCTTAGGCGCCAATGTGTTAGCGTACGGTATCTTGCACAATTTGCACATCGGAATGCTCTTGTGTAGGTTGTACCACAGGTTGTTACTTTTTCTGTGGTGGCTCCAGAGTTGCATTAGGTCTCTGAGCCGCTGGTGCTTGTGAATGATAAACGTAAGACACAGCTCCAAGAATATTGTCGTATGGCGGAGTGATCTGTTGTTGATGAGTTGGCTGCGGATATGGCATGCCATTGCCTATGGGCGCTAGAGTATTATAGCTCTGGGCTTGTGCCATGTTTTGAAGCACACCATAAGTGTGGGTAGTGTTGCGGTGTCTATATACAATAGTACAGACACTTGTTGCCGGTGTTTGTATACAATAGTACGATTGTACTACTATGGGTGGCTAGGTTGATGTTTTCTAGCCATTAGATGGCGCCAACCTTTTCACTTGGGTCAAAGTGAATAATTTTGGGATGAATGCTGGGGGCGTTAGAAGACCTGAGGATGTCGTGTGGACAATATTGGTTTCTTCTGAATACATTACTGTTTCAGAATAAGCCACATGCGACGTGCAAATCTTCTTGATCGCAATTTGATGAGTTCAAAATGATTTTTCATGAGGCACAAGGTATTGTCCCTCTGGTGTGCCAAAATGTTACCATAGGTTGAAATTTTCTAATCGGATGATAACCAATTGTTTTGTTTTGGAAGATTTAGAGTAATTAAATCTTTAATTCGTAACAAACACAGTGCCCAAACATTTGATAGTATGAAATTAGAAAAAAAGGAGAAGGAATACGGAAAAATTAAAAAAATTGCGGAAATAAGAAAAAAAATCATAAATTTGATTGAGATGTTGGAATCTATATTTATAACGATTACATCAAACGTATTTATAGAATCTAAATGGTGGCTGCAAATGGACATAATATTTCTAATCTACTAACAACATGAAAGGATATAACCATTCGATATAGAAATAAAAATTTACAGGAATTAAAACTCATTAATTTATTTATTTTCTAGCTTGTAATACATCTAATTTTTTTAATTTTTATCCAAATACCCTATTTAGATTATCTTTAATCAGGTAATAAATTTTGATATCTTGTCAACCAAATCCAAGATTTATTAATAATAATCAAGATTTTTAAATCCAAATATTCTATCTAAAAATCAAGATTATACCATACTATCTGCCGCCGAAAACTAAAATCTCGATTAATCTATTCGACAAACCATTAGGATAAGCTTGAAAGACTGTCAATTAAATAAACTTGTGAGGTGCGTACCTGTAAACTTGTGAGACACAATTTAATAAACTTGAGAGTCACGGTCTTGTATATTTGAGAGGTACGATCGTTTAACTTGTGGGGTATAATTTGTTAAACTTGTGAGATACTATTTTGTTAAACAAACTCGTGAGACCATCAATTGAGCAAATCCGACGGCTGGTCTAGTCCGACATGAAATCTGATTGTTAAGCCTCCTTTTTGACACGCATACGTATATGTCAATCTTAGTCCCGGTACATCCAAATTTCTTTTGACTTGCCATATTTATTAATTTTGAGTCTGACGTCCAGTTTATACTATACTTGATGTATCAGTCTAAAATACATCCGATATGTCTGGACATCCTTACTTTCTAAATTACGAGACGCCCTTAACTCTAACAAATTGAGAAAACCTTTATCTTTAAGAATCCGGGATGCCCCTATCTTCGAAAATCAAGTGCGCCATTTTCTTGTTTTACATATTCGGGCATAAAATACATCGTCTGTTTAACGCGTAAAGACGATTAATTAGAAATGGTAACAAATGAAAAACAAAATAATATTTTAATATAGATACTACTTTATAATAATTTAATCTCATTTATAAGAAAGTAATTAATATTACTTAATTATGTTATGAGTATGGATTAGATGATTGAATGCTTATATTAGATATCTAATGACATGACACAATGTTATGGCATGATTGATTAACCATATCATTGCAAGATTTATAAGAATTCAGCAATGTGTTGAAATAAAATTTTCAGTACATAATCCATCTTGTTACGTTATTATTAAGCCCAAGCCCTTATAATAATACACATTAAATATATGATTAGATTTAATAAAATAATATTATTCATTAATTTCAATAGTTCTAGCTGAAAATTAAATATATATATATATGTATATATTTTTCCTATATATATTTGTAACACTTTTTTCAAGGTAGTTGCTATGATTTGAGCGACGTGTGGTCTTTTATCTAACGCTATAATATTTTACACATTAAATGGAAGACTTTTTTTTTTTTTTTTAAACATTAAAGTATTATTAGTGGTGTAGTAGTTTACGCCTTCCTTCAGTGGCCTCAACTCATTGTACAAGAGCGTATAGTATTTTACATTTTCATTACTTAAATTATAATACTCTCTCCCTCCCATATCAAAAAGTATCTATTTTTTTATTTTAATTCGTTTCCTAACAAAATATTTATTTTTTTTAGTAACTGTACTGTGTGTACCTAACATTACAAATACCCTTATAATTTACAATACATTACACAAATGTCATTACCTTTATATTACACGTACTAATAAGGTTATTTTAATAATTTCTACTTTATTCATACTAATATTTTTAAAACTACGTGAAAAAAACAAATACATAGTTACTTTTGGAACGGAGAGAATAAGATATTTGTATTGAGGCGAAAATATCATGAGCTAAATATGAATACATTCACTCCATAATGCCAACATAAGCATTAGAGCATCAGCATAAAGAAATTTCTAAAATATATATGCATATATATTGATAGAATATACTCCTTTCGTCTCATGTAATATGGATGTATTGCTGTAGACACGAGAATTTAGGTAAAGTATAATTAATAAGTAATTAAGAAGTATATTAGTAAAAATAATTATTATTTAGTAAAAATAATTATAGATTAAGATTAAGATAATTAAATAGTTTAATTAAAATTAAAAAAATTATAAAATTTAAAATGCGATTAAAATGCATAATTATATTTTCAAAAATAGAAATGGCAAGTTACGTGGCACTGACGAAAATAGAAAATAGGGACAAATTATGTGGGACGGAGGGAGTAATACTTATTCTTCTTTATAAACTATTATATATAATAATACTAATTTTTTTAATACAAAACATCATGCCAATAATTATTTTATCTCAAAATCATAAATAATAATAATAATAATAATAATAATAAAAACTTTCTTTACTCCTAAATCCCTTTCCCTTGAAGGATTTTGGTAAAATCATACTATTTATTTAAATTTTTTTCTTTAAAAATATCAAATCAAACGCATATTTTTTTTTTTTATATTATATTGAAAATTAATTTTACATTTAAAACACTACGTCATCACCTATTTATATCACTGTCGTACCACTATTATAATTCAAAATTTTTAATATTCAAATTCGGACTCAAAGTGGTTATACTATCTCACTTTTAATATAATAAACCTTTTTTGTGTTGTAAAGAAAGAAATATACATGTGTGCGGTGCAGTATATATGTTTGAATTTCCATCAAACATTCACATTATTAATTGTTGTTCTTTTTTTTTTTTTATATCTATTCTTCACCCAAAATGAGAATTAACCACACCTATACACAAATACAATTAATTATTATAAGTCCCTCCCTCCCGACTGAAGAAGAGCAACCAGACAGACTTGTTAACTAAGCATTAGATGAACATTTTCTTGATTTTGATCATCCAGTGGGTGCAACAACTCCTATGGCCTCAACTAATTAAGTTCTCCCCCTAATAGTCATCTGACTATCACAACCTAATCTGCCAACCATCAGAACCACCTCTTTCCATTTCTGATTTCCATGTATATAAGACCAAATCAAACTAGATCTGCTCTTCATCCATTGATATTTTTCACACAAAATTAAAGCTAGCTAGCTAGCTCCAGATGGGAACTTACATGTGCATGTGCATGAGCCTTCTTCTTCTGGTTTTGTTCACAACTGCAACTGCAACTGCAAAAGTTCATTACCACGATTTTGTTGTACGTGGCCTCGCCTGCCTGCTGCCTTCCTGTAATAAAATAAATAATTAATTAATTAGTTCCTTTTGATTAATAAAAGTGTATTTTGGTGAAACGTACTGCAGGTGCAAGCAACGCCGGTGAAGAGGTTGTGCAAAGCGCAGAGTGCGATTACAGTGAACGGGATGTATCCTGGCCCCACCCTTGAAGTTAACAATGGCGACACCCTAGTGGTTAACGTTGTCAACAGAGCTCAGTATAACGTTACTATTCACTGGTAAATGTGTTGTTTTTTAATAATAACAAGTGTGTTGTATACAAGTATGTCATACGTGTGATGTATATTGTGTGTGACGCATGAGACTATATCATGTGTTGTTAGTTCATGTGTTGTATTTGCGTTATATTAACATATATACAATGTGTTGTCTGTATTAATACTCTGTACTGTCTGTAGTAGTATTTTGTGCTGTTGAAACTATAGCATGTATTTTTTTGTTCATGCTGTATTTGTATTACATTAACATATAAAATGTATTATTTATATTAATATTATGTGTTGTCTATAGCACACTATGTACTGTTCAGCACAGTGTTGAATTTAATGTTCCTCGATGTATGTACGTATGTATGTGCGTAGGCATGGCGTGAGGCAGATGAGAACAGGATGGGCCGACGGACCGGAATTTGTGACTCAATGCCCGATCAGGCCGGGAGGGAGCTACACATACCGGTTCACCATCCAAGGGCAAGAGGGAACTCTGTGGTGGCATGCTCACAGCTCCTGGCTCAGAGCAACTGTCTATGGAGCTTTGATCATTCACCCCAAGGATGGAGATTCCTATCCCTTTCCAAAGCCCACCCGCCAGACACCCCTTCTTCTTGGTATCCTTATTATTAATTTCTTTCAGACTCTTTTCTTTCTTTCTTCTTGGTGAATTCAGATTGATCATTTATTAATTAGGTGAATGGTGGAACTCAAATCCCATCGATGTTGTGAGACAAGCCACCAGAACAGGAGCTTCTCCTAATGTTTCCGATGCTTACACCATCAATGGTCAGCCCGGCGATCTTTACAGTTGCTCCGACAAAGGTTTGCTTTTAACCTTAACTTCACTTCTTTTGGAGGAAATGGTGAATGTCATCTGCCCTGAATAATTAAGGGTGGCAATTCGGGTTGACCCGATTTTTTTGTTCTAGCACGGCCTAGTTTCAAAATAAGCTATATAGAGACGGCCCGATTTTGAACTGGATCTGAACAGCTAGGTCCGAGCATGAACCTATAACCAATTGTAAACAACAAAGGACTTTATTGTTAAACTACATCTACATATTTTTTTACTATTTCATTAGTTAATATATATATATACATATATAAATATATTAGATATTATATATTAATTTTAAAAAATTGGGTCAAGCCCAGATACGGCCTGATTTATTCGCGTGTTGGCCAGGCATGGCCGAAAAAATTTGGGCCTATTTTTGGAGACTCAAGGACGGCTTTTCCGTGCCAGATTCGAATCGAATTTTCGGTCCGTGCTTATTTTTGTGACCTCTATGAATCATCAAATAAATTGAAACTTTGTTGCAGATACAGTAATTGTCCCGGTCGGCTCCGGCGAGACGAATCTTCTCAGGGTCGTCAATTCTGCACTAAACCAGCAACTTTTCTTCAAAGTCGCCAACCACAAGCTGACGGTGGTTGGAGCTGATGCGTCGTACGTGAAGCCCTTCACCACTTCAGTTCTCATGCTCGGACCGGGACAAACCACGGATGTCCTAATCACGGCAAATCAGGCCCCTGGAAGATACTACATTGCAGCACGTGCTTATGCCAGCGCTCAAGGCGCGCCATTCGACAACACTACAACCACGGCTATCCTGGAGTATAAATCTGCACCCTGCCCTGCAAAGGGTGCCAAGATCAAGCCAGTTATGCCAACAATGCCGGCGTTTAACGACACTGCAACTGCTTCCGCCTTCACTACCAGTTTCAGAAGTCCAAGAAAAGTGCCCGTGCCGACAAACATTCATCATAATCTCTTCTTCACTGTCGGACTTGGGCTCAACAATTGTCCACCTGGTGCCAGCAGCAGCACCTGTCAGGGTCCAAATGGAACTCGATTCACGGCCAGCATGAACAATGTGTCGTTCCAGCTCCCGTCGAGTTTCTCTTTGCTTCAGGCACATCAACAAGGCATACCAGGTGTCTTCACAAGGGATTTTCCAGCAGCTCCTCCAGTGAGATTTGATTATACTGGAAATGTTAGCAGGTCATTGTGGCAACCCGTTGCAGGGACTAAGGTTTATCCACTAAAATTTGGGGAAAGTGTGCAGTTGGTGTTGCAGGGAACTAGCATCTTCACAGCTGAAAACCACCCAATTCATCTCCATGGTTATGACTTCTATATACTTGCAGAAGGTTTTGGAAATTTCAATCCAAGCAGAGACACGGCCAAATTTAACCTTGTCGATCCTCCTCTACGAAATACTGCAAGCGTTCCGGTTGGTGGATGGACAGTTATACGATTCGTCGCCGATAATCCAGGTAGCATGAACATGTGCTCTTTATTTCAATAGGCAGCACACCCGAGTTACCATATACAATACAGGATATAGTCTCACATAACATATACAATATTTGATTTTAGCACATGGCATACTCTCATGCAACACAAGCTGTAATTATGAATAAACAACACACGCCTTTATTACATACAACACAAATGCTGTATGTAATAAAGGCGTGTGTCAGCACCGCAACCTCGTCAATTTCAATGTATCTATTCCAAAATGGAATCACTAACACTTTATAATTACCTTAACTGCAAACAGGGGTCTGGTTGATGCACTGCCATTTGGACGTCCATATCACTTGGGGTTTAGCGATGGCATTCTTGGTCGAAAACGGCGTTGGCGAACTTCAAACATTGGAAGCTCCACCAGCAGATCTTCCCCTGTGTTGATGCTGATTGAATCAAGAGACAGATAGATTGCAGTATTGTAGCCTCCTATCATGCAAGAAGGTTAAAAAAGAAAGTACACCATGATCATAGTATTACTAAGTTTCATTCTTGTTTCCTCTCCCCACATTGGGGCCTGTTTTTGCCTTTTGTTATGGTTTACAAACAAGCTCACTATTCCATTTCCAATAGAACCTTTGCTAGTCAAGCAAATTTTATTAGCCATTGCTCTTCTTGAATGTAGTTGTACTTGTACTACCATTTGAAAATCATGGAAAACACTTATTATTCATAGATTTCTAATGATTCCACTTTCCCATTCTATCGATCATTTTATTTTTTCGATCCTCAATTCACATAAAACAATGTGAAAAAAATCCATACCAACATTCTAACATAGAGTAGCATGTGATCTTCGCATTGTTTTAGAAAAATATCGAAAAATCTATCCTTTAAGAAAATTTCAATCAATTCTTCCAAGTTCTTCCATTCACGGAAAAAGCCAATTTAATCTAAACAAAAAATTTAAGACAGCTAATTTTAAGATAACCAAAAACTATTCCAAAGATGAATACCTCCATTCTTAAAATTCAAATAAGTTCGAAGAACCTATAACTTCAGTAAAAGTTAGATAGCTCCAGAAATAGACTAAACCTTTACATCTTGCGGACAACAAAATTTGGCTCCATTTTTATTGATGGAAAGAAGCTCTAAATTCACCTTTTCCATTATTTGGATAAAACTTATTAGCTTAATTCATGTAATATGACAACGATAAAGAAATAAACATGCAGTGAGTGTTAAAAATTGTTTGAAGTGAATAAGATAATTTAGTTGCTTGATTTAATCATTTTTATTTTACTTTTATGTTGTAGTAAAAGAAGGCACAAACTTTGTAGTAGTATTCAATAGTAAGTTCGATAATTATCTTGGATTTTGCAACATTTGAGAAAAACCTCCATAATGTGTCGTTTTTGTATGAGTCATTATTTATGATTAAACCTATTATTATTATTATTATTATTATTATTATTTTATTTATTTGTTAATTTTTATGTGATATTCTCAATTGTTTCTCTAAAAAAAACAAGTATTTGTGATTTGTATTTACGTGATAATCCCGCAATAGTGAAGGTGTTTCTGACATCTTCAATGGTCCCAGATATCCCTCTAATCCTTCACACAAATGGATGTGCACACACGCTCCACGAGGTAGTCAACATCGAGCCTATCGATTGTACTTATAAAGTTTTACATTATTTGTTCTTCAGTCCCAATTCAAAGTACTATTTTATCATTTTTATCCATTTCACTCAAAAGTATTTCTTTTATTTCTTTAGTAAAAATAATCATAAACTAATACTAAAGTACTCTTAACTTTTACTTAAATTATAAATATAACATTACATATACAATTACTTTATAAATAAAATCAAATGACAAAAATATTGATACATTTTACACATTTCCACTAATCAATAAAATACTATTATTTTTTTAATCTACTACAAATCCTAAATGGATACATTCAAAGTGGACCGAATGAGTATTTTTTCTTGACATCTACTTAAATTAATTGAAAATAATAAAAATAAACAAATTCGATTTTCACTTTAGCTGATTCGCTACCCCTGAATACTTTTTGAGAAATTGCAGTAATAACGACTATCTTTGTTTTAACTAATACTTATGTTTATTTTTATATCATTTGAATAATGGATATTATGGATGGTTGATAATTTAGATGTTAGTTACTTTGGATATGTGTTGAGGAACAATATTGTATTTATATTTTTGACTTGTCAAAAATATCGGATTGACACCATTTTATATGTTTCTAAATGATTTTTGTATTAGTTATAAAAAATAATATTTTTGAAAAAAATTATTTTTATAACAAATACTACTATTTTTATTATTTTTTTTAGATTGTAACAAAAAGTTTGTTACGTTCAGTAAATAATTGTAACGGTTTTGTTGTTACCGTCAAATTTTGTAATAAATACTTATCCTAATGAGTTTGAAGTATTTATAGCATCTTTTTTGTTACAGAACATTTTTTTACAAAATTTTATTATTAAGATTAAGGACAACTATATCGGCTTTTTTGTAACGTATTCTTTTGTTATAAAAAATAATTTGAACCATCACAAATCATTTTAATAAGTGCGTTTTAGAGGCATTAACCATCAACCTTTTGTTACGAAGAGTGCCCTTACAGATATTTTTTGTTACTCAATTTTTGTAGCGGTCAAAATTCATTACAAAATTAACACAAAATTCTTCTAGTATCAAAAAACAAATGACCTCATTTCAGCTAATGCCATAAATAAGGATTTATTATAAATAAATAAAATTTTAAATAAAAACTAAGTGAGAAAAAAAAAGCTATGCACACTACAACCAAATAAACTACCAAAAACTAATTTTAATTATTAAATTAGCAAATAATTCGGAAAATAAATTAGATTATCATTAAATAAATATAAACTAACTATCAATTATTAAAAAATCACACAAATTGATATATTATATAAAAGATAAATTAGACTAAATTGACTTAAATATAGCTTCTTGTAATAATTAAAAACAATAAAAAATTGCTTAGATAAATATATATAATACAAAACCGCACTATCAAACAAATAACCGATCTCATCACCAAATCTTTTCATTCGGGTCGCTTTCAAACTCTCTTAGGCAAGCTCAAGTTGCTGATTACCGTGTCACTTGAGTTTGAGAGGATATTAGTATATAATTTCTCCGTCCAGAAACTAATGTTCTATTTTTCTATTTTGGATGTCCAACAACTATTGTCGTATTTATTTTTTTAAACATAAATTTTACATTTTTACCCTTCATTCATTTATTACTTTTCATCTCTACCATACGGGCAAATTTGTCAATTCATAAAAAAATAATCACCTAAAAAATCATGCAAAGATACTTTAGGACAATAAAAATTGGACGGAGATAGTATTAGATTACTAGTATATATTATTGCATAATTGGATATATATATAAGGACCCAATTGCCCATAATTAGGTTACATATATGATGTGTAAATATTGTGTTATTATTGAAAGAATATTATCAGATTTTTCGGCAAACACAACAACATCTAATTAATTTTTGATTTAATTCACTTTCATCATGATCAGATTCTGTTTCTTTTTCTCTCTCCCCCTCCCTCTCTCTATATATACTAACATCCGAAAATGCAGACAACAATAGAAGGAGATGATCGATGATGACGATGAAGGCAACTACTACTACTGTCTCTCCACCTCCTCCTTTATCTTCATCTTCTTCTTCTTCTTCGCTGGTGCTATCCCCTCTCTTCTTACTATCGTTCATCCTTTCCATGGCGGTGCTTTACTGCACCACCGGCTTCACCTACTTCTCTAGCATCTATTATTTCAATGCCTTCTCTGATCATCATGTCCCCAGTGAGTAGTATATACTTACAACTTAATACCTAATTAATTAATTAATTAATTAATTATATATATATATGTGTGTGTGTGTGTGTGTGTCTGTGTGGTAGAAGTGGAAAGAAAGGTGGCCTTTGCAATGGGAGAAGCAGATGAAGGGTGCGTGGACTTGTTCGAGGGGAAGTGGGTGAGGGACGATGGGGGGCCGCCGTACGAGGAAGGGAGCTGCCCCTACCTTGACCAACAGACCACCTGTCTCCGCCATGGCCGTCCCGACAAGGAATACCGTTACTGGAGATGGTCCAGCTCCACCTGCTCCATTCCCAGGTCACAAACCCTCTAATACATATACATCTATCAATCATCATTTTCCTTCCATGAAATGGACGGTGCGGATTCATCTGGAGTTCGGGAGTCCCTGGAACGCTTATAGAATATAGATCGAAACGTTCAAGAAGATATATATATATATATATATATAGAACATTATAAGTAATTTCCTGATTGGGGAATGAATCAATCACATGCACTTGAATCTCCAGAAAAAGTATTGGTCTGATCTGAATTCAATGATTCGATGCATGATCATTGTAGGACTCAAATTTGGCAATTTTGGATTTGGCTAATATCCACCAGATATGGTAGTTAATCTTCAATCTGTAATTTGTTTCAGTTTTAACTCGACGTTAATGCTGGAAGCCCTTCGAGGAAAAAGAATGATGTTCGTGGGGGATTCTCTAAATCGTGGCCAGTTCATATCCATGATTTGTCTTCTTCAACGAGCCATCCCTCCACATGCTCATTCCATCGAGGTCTTTCATTCACTCACAGTTTTTACAGCCAAGGTTGTTATCTATATATATATATATATATATATATGTATATCATTCATGAACTCCTGATCAGTACCAGAATTTTGTGAATTAGTCTCCAAAAATTGGCTCAAAATTCATTCCGAGACTATCAAAATAAATATATAATATATATTAAATCAACAAAATTGGATTGCCTCGGATTTAGTTAAAACAGTCGCGAAATTTTCGAGGCCAAATTAAATGTATATTTTATTATATTAAAAGGTCTCGAAATTGTCGAAAATATATTAAAAATATATTTTATTTTATTAAATAGTTTCGAAAATTCCGCGACCATATTCTATATATTATTTTATATAGAATACAAAATTATTTATACACTAAGTGGAATTCTCTATCATTTTATTTATTTGAAGTCCCTGAAAATTAATAATGTCATTAGTTTTATGTAAAAAAGTTGTAGTTTTTCAAAAACCTTATTACTAAGGTAAGATATATATATATATATATATATTACTTTATCTTGATGACATAAAAAGAAAATACACAACTCCAATTTGGAAAAACAAAAACAAAGACATTTATTTAAAAAATCATAGCATTAAATAATTTGATATAGTTATTAGGATGCATGTTTTTTTTTTTTTTTTTTTTTTTTAATTTTTGTCCCTTTTAGGATGTAAGAACAACTTGAGCTACAATTCTTTCACAGTTGATAATGTCAAAATATTATATTTTTGCATCAAATTAAAATTTATATATCTGTTAAGAGTGTTAGAATTGTATATATGTGTGTAGGAGTACAATGCGAGGGTCGAGTTCTACTGGGCGCCATTCCTGTTTGAGTCGAACGCGGACGATCCAATTCACCACCATGTGGTCGATAGAATAATTCGAAACGGTTCTATGGAGAAGCATGGAGGTCACTGGAAAGGAGCTCATATACTTGTATTCAATACGTACATTTGGTGGGTTTCTGGATTGAAACTATTAGTGTACGTACATCCTCCTTCGCTCTCCCTCTCCCTCTCCCTCGTGCAATTTTTATATTTCTTCCGTCATCAAGATTTATACTTATTTGATTAGGCCCCGTTATTAATAAATACTACTTTTTTATAATAAAAAAATACAAAAGTAATATAATTTAAAGTAAAATTACATAAATGAGAATAATTTTGTTGACAATAAAAGAAAAATGGATATAAATTTGAATGACCGAGTGCTTTATTTAAATTAGGTTAGAAATTAACTAGTTGGGTAACTTAGGCAAACTAGTCTTGTATGTATGCACTAGCTAGAAATTAACATAAATTGTATTCTATCTATCTCGGCTACCATGTCTTTTTTTACTATAGATACAAAAATTTAAGAGGGGTATAATTAGTAAATAAGTAATAATGTATTAGTTAAAATAATTATTAGATAATAAAAATAATTTTAAATTAAAATTAAGATAACTAATTGGTCTAATTAATTAAAATTTAAAAAACTATAAATTATAAAATTTATGTATAGATGCTGAACTAGTTACCGGCCAGGTTTACCATTCATAACACTAAGATTGTATTGTTTAATGAATTTGATCTTATAGATATGTTGTAATGATACAATAATTTATAATTGAATTCTTGTGTAGGAGAGGATCTTTGAACGACAAAGTAAAAAATGTGGTGCCCCTCGAAAGGGATGAAGGCTATCGCATGGCTATCAAAGAATTGGTTGAGTGGATAGACAGGAACATTGATGCCAAGACCAAAAGGGTGTTTTTCATATCCATGTCACCTACTCATCAATGGTATATAATAATTGGTTAATAAATAAATAAACCCTATATATTAATCCAAATAATTATTAGGGCGACCGGCACTGTGCTGAATTTACTGTGCTGACAACACACACTGCAGCACGCGGTATGTTGTGAGGCAGTATACGGCGTTGAACTAACAACACATATTATAGTCTTATACACCACAATCAATACTTGATTTCAACACATCATATACTGTTACACAGGACACTTGTAATTAAGAACCAACAACACAAATACAACATGTGAACTGACAGCACATACTCTAATCTTATACAATACAAATACTAATTGATCTTAACACATCGCATATTGTTATACAGCACGCTATAATTATGAAGCAACATCACCTGTCATTATTATACGCAGCACATGTTATTTATAATAAGACTGTGCGTTGTTTGTATTGTGCTGATTTTTCCAATTCAGCACATTAGTTCTCAATTATTAAATACTATATATTACACATTCTTCCTCAGGAGCTATAAATGGGGAGGTGATCCAGAGGGAAACTGCTACAAGCAGACAAGGATGATAGAAAACTCGACATACTTCGCAGCGGAGAAGAGCTTGATGGACATAACGGTAGAAGAGATAAGCAGGTCACGTGCAGTTCCCGTGACGTTGCTTAATATTACACATTTGTCCAGCGTTAGAAAGGATGCGCACGTGTCGATATACAAGAAGCAATCCCGGCCGTTGATTGCGGACGAGCTGGCCAAGCCGGAGACCTATGCGGATTGCATACATTGGTGCTTGCCTGGCCTTCCCGACATTTGGAATCAACTCTTGTTTGCCAAGCTTTTCTATCCTTAATGCTATTACTATTATTCAATTAGTTGGCTTAAATTAAATTAAAGTTTTTATTTTTCTAAATGTCACATGCCACTATGGGTGGAAATAGACCAGACTTTGGCTAAACAGATTAGGCATATTTTAAAAAACTAAGAACTAATAAAAAAATTATACAATCTGAGTCTGACATACTTTTAAGCATATTAAAGTACGAGTCTATTTAAAAGCCTAATAATAATTAATTTTTTATTTTTTAACATTTAATATTAGTAAAAAAATATAAATGCAATTATTATTTTATGTATATATAATTATAGTTACAACTAATCAATTTTATATTTGAGTATTATCACTAAATTAATTATACATATAAATAGTCCGGCATGATAAGCTTAAAAGATTTTTCGTAAAGCCTAAGTCTATTCTAATTAATTATATAAGCTTTAAAACAAACCTATATCAAATTATTTGAATAAATAGGTCAGACCGAGCCAGGCCTTATGCAGGTCAGACTGTAAGCCCCTGGTAAACCGCCTGGCCTATTTCCACCCCTACGTGCCACTGCCAGCCGTTATATGAGACTGACAAAGAACTACTACTAAAATGGTTGGCTTATAATTATATATATATATATATTCTATTGGAAACCTATAAAATTCCAAAAATATTTTGTCTAAACGGAGCCTTAATTTGATTTTGAATTTTGTTTGAACACCAATTAATTATTCACTTGATCCGTATTATCCTCCTTCATTTGTTTTTGTTACGATTTATAGAATAAACTCTATTTTCATTGAAACACAATTAGGGTTCAATATTATATTTATACAAGAGATATATTAGGTAGAATATATATATCAATATATAAAATATATATACTCTATATATATCAACATCCCCCCTCAAACTCAAGGTGGAACGGTGGAGCCCAACTTGAGTTTGCTCAAAAATGACTGAAAACGGCCGGGGAGGTGAGGTTTGGTGAATCCGTCGGCCGTTTGATCAGCAGAGGAAATAGGAGACAAGGAGATGCTTCCATGAGCAACGTGATGACGTACAAGGTGACAGTCGATCTCAATGTGCTTCGTACGCTCGTAGAAGACATCATTTGTTGAAATCTTCATGGCGCTCTGACTGTCGCAATGGATAATAGTGGCAGAGGGCTGAGGCACTCCAAGATCAGCCAAAAGCCAGCGAAGCCATAGAAGCTCGGCAGCGGTATCGGCAAGGGCTCTATATTCAGACTCTGCACTGGACCGGGAGACAACCGTCTGTTTCTTGCTGCGCCATGAAATAAGCGAGTCGCCAAGGAAGAAGCAAAACCCGGTGGTCGAGCGGCGATCAGAGGGATCTCCCGCCCAATCAGCGTCAGAATACCCGGTCAAAACTAAGGAGGAACGAGCGGAATAATGAAGTCCACGAAGAAGGGTACCTTTGACGTACCGGAGAATCCGTAGGACAGCAGAATGATGAGTCGTCCGAGGAGCAGACATAAACTGACTGACGATATGGACGGCATAAGCAATATCCGGTCGAGTGACAGTCAGGTAGATGAGACTTCCCACCAGCTGACGATACAAAGTCGGATCATCAAGGGGAACGCCGTCCATCGGAGTAAGACGACAGTCAGAATCAAGAGGTGTAGGAACAGTCTTGGAGTCAGTGAGACCGGCACTAGATAGGAGGTCGGAGGCATACTTGGCTTGAGAGAGATAATATCCGTCGGAGGTGTCGGAGATCTCAAGTCCTAGGAAGTACCGAAGAGGCCCTAAACTCTTCATCTCGAAGTGGCGGTGTAGATGAGCCTGCAACTCGGAGATTCCTGATGCATCATCTCCCGTAATGATCATGTCATCCACATAAAGCAATAAAATAGTAATTCCAGCTGACCCACGTCGAAGGAAGAGAGCCGAATCATGATCACTAGAAGTAAAGCCAAGCTGGAGTAGAGCAGAGCTAAATTTCGAAAACCAAGCTCGAGGTGCCTGTTTCAAACCATATAGGGCACGGCGAAGTTTGCATACCTTAGAAGAGGTAGGAAAACCAGGAGGAGGAGACATGTAGATATCCTCGGATAAATCACCATGCAAGAACGCATTCTTGACATCAAGCTGATGCAGGGGCCACCGACGAGCGGCAATGATGGCGATAAGACAGCGGACAGAGGTGAGACGAGCAACCGGGGCAAATGTCTCCTCATAGTCAATACCATACTGCTGGGTGTAGCCTTTGGCTACCAAACGCGCCTTGTAGCGCTCGATAGATCCATCAGAGTGAGTTTTGATTCTGAATACCCACTTGCAGCCAATAGGTTTCTTGCCAGGGGGAAGATCAACCATATCCCACGTATGGGTTTTCTCCAAAGCCTGCAACTCCTCAGACATAGCCTGCCGCCACAACGGATCCGCATACGCCTCACGAAAGGACCTGGGCTCATGATGGGACAATGTGGCAGAGAAGCAGTGATAATCAAGTAAGTGAGTAGGAAGGTGACTAACCCGAGTGGAACGACGAGGGCCAGGATCAGGGGCTGAGATCGAAGTCGTGTCAGGCTCTGGTGGTGGTGATGTATCGGAGTCGAGAGTAGGAGTAGACTCGGGGATCAGCTGTGGTTCAGGAGGCGCAACCGGGACAGCGTCAGGAGCGGGAGACGGAGACGAAGCCGTGTCACTGGAAGGGAATAGAGGTGGAGAGGACAAGGTAAAGAACGGAGACGAACGATCAAAGGGGACTCTGAAGTGAGACAAGGAAGAGAATTTGGTATCCTCCCAAAATGTGACATGACGAGAAATACGTAGCCTATTGGAAATGGGATCCCAACAACGATAACCCTTATGTTCTAACCCGTAGCCCAGGAAGCAACACAGACGCGCGCGAGGTTCTAACTTAGTGCGCTCATGAGGAGGGAGGAGGACAAAACTGACACAACCGAAAGGGCGGAGAAGACTATAATCAGGGGTACGATTAAATAGTCTTTCAAAAGGACTGACATTACCTAGGACAGAGGAAGGGACACGATTTATAGTGTGGACAGCGGTGAGTGCGGCTTCCCCCCAAAAGCGATCTGGACAAGAGGCTGATAAGAGAAGGGTGCGGACTGTATCGAGGATATGTCGGTGTTTACGTTCGGCGCGACCATTTTGTGGAGAGGTGTATGGGCAGGAGCGTTGGACAGCAGTACCTTGATCAGATAAGAAACTAAGAAATGATGAATCAGTATACTCAAGAGCATTATCTGTGCGGAGAGTTTTTATGGTAGAGGAAAATTGGGTATGTATCATTTTAGCAAAGGTCATATAAATAGATAGAAGTTCAGAACGATGACGCAGAAAGTAAATCCATGTAAAACGAGAATAGTCATCAATAAAAATCACAAAATAACGAGAACCATTCATAGACACAGTGGGCGAAGGTCCCCAAATATCCGAGTGAACTAAGGAAAACGGAGTATCCGCAATGGAAGTACTATGAGGAAACGACACAGCAGGTTGTTTTCCCAACGAACAATCCACACAATTAAAAGACTCAAACTTAACAGAACCCAAACTACCCTGACTAATCAAATACCTGACTTTATTGGAAGACGCATGACTGAGACGACGATGCCACTGAAGGCAGGATGGTGTAGAGGTGGTGGCAGCTGAGATAGAGAGACGAGGGACCTGGAGTGACGTAAGTTCAAATAAGCGGCCCGTCTTCCGGCCCTTCCCAAGAGTCCGCCCGGTTTGCGCGTCCTGAACCTGCACACCAGTAGAAGAAAATATCACGGTGAGACCTTGATCAACTAATTGACCAACGGAAATCAGATTTAAGGTTAATTGAGGGATACAGTATGTGTCGGGGAGGGATAAGGATGAGGTGGATGTATGTCCGGTATGGGTGATGCGCATATGGGTACCATTGGCAGTAAGGATAGGAGGTAAGGATGGTGCGGTGGATGTGGAGGTCATAAGGCGTATATCAGAGGTCATATGATTACTGCAAGCAGAATCAAAATACCAAAGAGAGTTACCTGATGTGGTAGACATGGCGGTATTGGAAGATAGAACCTGTTTAAGAAGAGCTTCCAGGTCCTGAATCGTAGGAGGCGCAGGCGCAGGCGCAGCAGAGGCTGTGACAGAGGAGGTACCAGACTGAGGTCCACGAAAATTCCGAGGCTTGTAGTTACTACTTCCAGAGCGAGACGGCCTAGTGGGGCAATACTGTATAGTATGGCCTAAAACATGACAGTAGTGACACTCCACCTTTGGGCAATGACCGAAGTCATGATCAGAGGACTGACATCTTTTGCAACGATGAGAACGACTCTGAGTAGGAGTTCGGGCAGTGACCGCAAGAGCAGAATCAAGCTGAGGAGCCTTAGCTAGGTGGAGACGAGTTTCCTCAAACAGAATCTCCTGAATAGCTGCATCCAAGGTAGGAAGTGGATGCCGATGTAACAAAGAGGCACGAACTGCCTCATACTCTGGACGCAAAGCCATCAAGACCTGAATGAGGCGAAGATGATCAGGATTGATCTCTGCTTGATCCAACCGATGCCAAAGGGGTTGCACTTGGGCAAGGAAGTCATTGATAGATTGTCCTGGTTCCTGTTTTAGATCGTGGAGAGTGCTCCATAAATGATAATAATGTGCCAAACCAGTAGCACGGAAGCGGACTGCCAAGAAATCCCACGCTGCCTTGGCAGTGTCAAATTGGGCAAGCTGAACATGGATCGCCGGAGTGGAAGTATTGCGTAACCAAGTGAGAATTTGATGGTTTTTACTATCCCAATCTTCCAATTTTTCAATATAAGATTCAACAACTGTGGTGGTAGGCGTAACTTCTCCTATAGAAACCGGAGCAATGGGGGCAACTATATCTCCCGTAACAATTCGCCACAATTTCCGACCTATCAAAAAACTTTTCATCGATTGTGCCCACAAACTGTAATTATCTCCGGACAGAACAACATTGATCGGAATATGTACATCCATCTTTTCCATAGAAACTCAAGAGAAAACAATATCTCAAACCTCAAGCTGAAAGCCGAAACGACAGAAATCGAATCAAACCCGAAACACAAAAAGTCAACCGGATACAAAAAAACTGCTCAAACGGAAGAAGTGAAGATACCATCGCGGAGGAAATCAAATTCCGAACACGACGGTGCAAAGATCGCCGCCAACGGCCGCCGCACGCGCCTCCACGCTCCGGCGAGGCGTCCGGCCGGAAAACACGTCGGGCGCGTGTGTGGCTCACGCGCCGCCGTTCGCCGAATTGTTCCGGTGTCCGGCCGGTCTCGTGACGGCGAAGACGATGGTGGTGGCGGTGACGGTCGGAAGTGGTCGGAAATATGCTATCTGGAATTCGTGGGTTGTTTCGATTTGGTCGGGAAAAAGCATGGCTCTGATACCATGTTACGATTTATGGAATAAACTCTATTTTCATTGAAACACAATTAGAGTTCAATATTATATTTATACAAGAGATATATTAGGTAGAATATATATATCAATATATAAAATATATATACTATGGGTGTGTTTGTTTGAAGGATTTTGGAGGATTTCCACTATTCATCCAATTTTTTTCCCCCAAAAACATCAAATCAAACACCTATTTTTCATTTTTTATATTATACTAAAAATCAATTTTACATTCAAAACATCACATCAAACCCTATTTATATCACATCATACAACTATTCAAATTCAAAATTTTTACTATTCAAATCCCAATCCAAAATCCAAACCCCCAAACAAACACACCCTATATATATATCAACAGTTTTAATGTTTTGATGTGATTATTATAAAATAAATATTTAACTAATTAAATTAATAATAGTAGATGTTGCATTTAAATACGTTTAGATTAAAAGTGTTATTTTTTTTTTGATTGGATAGATTAAAAGTGTTTTTGTTTGATTAGTTGCTTTGAGAAAATAGAAATTTGAATAACTTAGATCTATATTTGATCTCATATAAACGTATATAAATGAACAATTTAATGATAATTTTTTTAAATAAAATTGTTGATGAATAATACTTCCTTCATCTCGCCACAAATAATTGTTTTTTCTTTTCTAATCGTCCCATGAAAGAACCCTTTTAGTAAATTTACTTCTCTTAAACATACTTTAAAAAATATAAATCAATTTAATTATATTTCTAACTTCCCCACTCAAAGTCCTTTATTTTTATCTCTCTCCACAGCAAATAAATATTTTTATATATATTATCAACACAGTTATCTGTACCCACACAAAAAATCAATAAAGGCTGACTGAAATAGAAAATTAATGAAAAAACACACCCGTAAAATTTAACATAAAAGAGATAAGGCATTCCGGTAAAAAAATAAAAGAGATAACGCATATATAAACTGGAATTTTTTGCATTGTTTCAATGATTTCATCATACTATTATACTGTTAATACTACATATTAATTTGCCTAATTATTTTTAGGGTTTCCTTTTGTTTTTAATGAAAAAAAAAAAAAAAAAAAAAAAAAACAACAACAAACAAACAAACAAAGATAAGCGTACATTGAGTATATTATATGTGTGTGTGTGGCCTACAGAAGTTGGAATGGGGGCAAATGTTGAAACAGGATGAGATGGTGTATGTAATCTCGTGCATTCCTTCCTGCTGCTTGCCCACTTGCAAATAATATATGTATATCTCTTTCTCTTTACCAGAAGAAAATTCAAACACTACAAGAAAATAGTATATTTGTAATAGAATTTCGTCAATAAAGTTCACGTAGCTAATGTAATTTCATTCCTAATTTCGTTTTTAATATCATTTGTAACTAAAAAAGTTGATTTAGAGACGAAAAACCCTTGTTACAAAATTAATATTTTCTTGCAGTGAAATGACACAATAAAACCGTATTACGTACAGGGATAATACAAATTACTTAATTATACAACATATAAATAAAATAACAAAGGAAATAATATATATACATATATAGGCGGCTACAAGACAGTGCAATACTGAATAGCACACCATGTATTACCGTACAACACACAGTGTCATTATAAACAACACACAATATACTTTAATATAATATAAATACAGCACATAACCTAACAATATATAATATAGTATCATACAGTACATACAATACTTGATTTTAGCACATGATATACCAACACACACTATAATTGTGAACTAACAACATATGTTTTTATTACAAACAACACATGTTATATTTAATAAAGACGTGTGCTGTTTCCATATTTTATATATGCTGATTTGGAGAATCAATGCGGTGCTGATTTTTTAAATTCAACATTGTAACCTTCCCTATAATAAAGACGTGTGTTGTTTCTATATTTTATTATATATATATATATATATATCATCAAGTAAGCAAGCAAGTTGGGTTTTGTAAGAACAAGTTGCATATTTATATGTATATTTTTGTAAGAACAAGTTGCATATGTATATGTATATCGGTTGTGAACTTATTTTAACATCAAAGTATTCCATGGCCTTGATCCTCACGTTTCAACTAACTCAATTGAACTTTTCCTTCCTTTTAATTAATTCATTCAGTCAACAATTGCAATTAATTAATTCTATCAAATTTCCATGCCTATAATGTGTTCGATTCTGTCAGATGAGATCCATAAGTTTCATCCTTATTGTTCTTCTGCCCAACAAAATATTAGTAATTTTTATATAATATACTCCCTCCTTCCACGAACTAACGTCCAACTTTCTTATTTGGAATGTCCAACAATTATTGTCTTCTTTCTATTTTTATACATAAAATTTACTCTTTTACCCTTACTTTATTTACTCTTTCATTTTCTATACACAAGATTAAGACAAATTTGTCATTTTATAACAAAAACTCTAATTACTTAAAAATACGTGAAAATATCAAATAGAACGTTAGAAAATAGACGGAGAGTATATAATTTGATTAGTTAATTATATTAATTAATTGATGCAACTAGTTTATTTCATTGTTACAATCTATTGACTATTGTTTTTGTACTTCAAAAAAATCAGATGATTACATCCTCATTCTGATTTATATATTCAATACAACATTAATTTATCATTCAAGATGATGATGATGATGATGATGTCAAGTGAAGTTAAAATAGATATATATATATATATACAAATTTTTATTTTTATTTTTTATATAGTCATTAGTCCTAGTCCTGTTCTTTTTACTTTGCTCGTGAGATTATATAATTTCTCAGTCTCAGTGCAAGATTTTTGTTTACTTTTACACATAAATTTTTAAATATTAGTATTATAATGGGTTGCAATGAAAAAAACGAAAGTATCTCTATTAATATTGTGCAATATAAAAGTAATATTATTTATATAATATAATGTAAATTGAAAGGGCATTTATTATGTTAGGTATGTAATATAATTACTAAATTAGAAAATTGTAAGCTTCTTTCGGGACGGATGAAAATGAAAAATTGCAACATTTCAATGGGACGAAGAGAGTATAACAAATTTTATATTTTGTTCGTTACAATTTATATTCTTTTTTTTTTCAAAAGTTTAGAAAATAACACTCATTTTATGTCCTAAAATTTTGTAATTCTTTTTGTTGTCTACTAAATTTATGCACAATTTATTTATAAAAATAATAATAATAATTTTATCTACCTACAATTTTATTAATACTACTTAAAAAAATAATAACGAATTTGCTATTATTTTTTTTCTATTTATCTCACTATATTTTTATTAATTATTTAATAAATTTTCTATAATAAATTAACTTTAGTTTTTATCTATCTAATTTTAATATAAAAAAAATATTATTTTTTATTGTCCACACCCAATCAAACCTACAAAATAATACTATTTTTGTTCCGTGTCATAATTACGGTAGATACGACATAAAATAAAAAATTTATAATTAATAAATAATTAAGAATATATTAATAAAATAATTATATTTAATGTGTAATTGTATTAAATATATATATATATGTATAAGATGTGAAAAAAGATCAAAATAAAAATGATGATATAATATATCAATGGACGGAGATAGTATAGATATATAATGAAGAAAATACATATATATTACTCCCTTCGTTCTACGTAAATTGTTTATATTTTTCATTTTCGTACGTTTTATATAATTTTTCATTTTTTTTTGGACATATAATTATACATTTTAATCATATTTTAAATTTTAAATTTTAAATTTTATAATTTTTTAATCTTAATTGTATTATTCGGTTATCTTAATTTTAATTTATAATTATTTTTATTATATTATAATAATTTATAATAATATATTTTTTAATTATTTATTAATTATATTTTATTTAAATTTTGGTACGTGGATAATTTATCCGGGACAGAGGAAGTATTCGATGAGAGGGAAGATTATAATGAAGAAAATACATATATACCATTTCATGCGATGGTGATCCAATTTCCATTTCCAACAATCTTCATTTAACAAATTAGAGACGAAGAGAAAAGAAACAGTTGTTCGCAAAAATCAAGATCCAAATTCCCTAAATTTACATCAGATGAATAATTAATATAATTACTTAAAACTAATTAGGGTGATCTCTGGCCAAATTGTGAGCGATCTGAGCCAATGAGTGCAGATTGCAGCGCAGGATGGTATCCACAAATGCACACGTCTCCTCCTTGGTGTTTCCCGGCGGCACATCCACCACGTACGACTCCACCACCACCGCCCCGCCGCAGGCCGCCGCATGCACCGTCGTGACGGAGCGGTAGTTGCGGAGGCGGTGGTCGCCGCCGATGACGCTGAAGCTCATCACGTGCTTCTCGTCGTCGAGGATCTCCAGCCTCTCGGTGCTGCATTCTGCGGGGAGGCCGGACACCACGCGCACCTCCCTGAGCGTGCCCACACCGCCCTCCCCGACGATGACGTGGCAGCTCTTCAGGAAGTGCTTGTACTCCTGCGGCCGGTCGAACCGGCGGACCACGGACCACACCACGTCGACCGGAGCCGACTCGATCGCGCGCACCGCCGCCGAGCAGCACTGGTTCGGTCCCATTGGGTGCGTGTGGTGGCGCAGCACGCGTTCCGGCACTACAACATCATTGTCGCCGCCAGTGACGGGACAAACCCACGAAACCCTACCCGACTTCTGATGCCCGACGGAGGCGGTTATTGAATTAATTCTATGAAGGTGAAGCGAGGAGGGCATTTTTGTGCTCACCCGCACAACAATGGATAATTAATCCACGGCGCCGATGGAGATTTGATTTATATACCTGTATATATATATACGTATAAATACGTATGAAAACGTATTGAAAGAGAGGGAGAGAGACATGGAAATTGTGTAGCTCCCTCCCTGCTAGTTGCAATAAAGATAGATAAAGATATTGATAATTAATTAATAAAAAAGTTGTAATGAAAGTGCAAGTGGGCGGGATAAGCAAGTGGCAGAAAGATTAATCTAATCTAGCAGTCACCACACCAGGAAGGAAGGAAGGAAGACTGACTGCTCTGCCCCTGCCCTACCAATAGTCAGCCTGGCAATGGCATGGGTTCGGTGTAATGACCAGAATACCCCTGATGTTGGCTGGATGCGGGGTCGGAATCTGGTCTGGTGAATGGAACTCCTGCACGTACGGAGCAAGGTAAGACCAATTACAGTGCCGCGTTTTAGAATTCCTCCTTCTACAAGACTTTTTTGGCGGACATTCAAAAACTCGCCCGCAAAATTCAGACAATAGTCCGACTGACTCGTATTTTGTTTTAGGGATTCTAAATTCTCATAATTATATGAAATATTAGGGTCTGTTTTTTTTTTTTTAGGAGAATTTAGAATCCTAATATTAGGGTCTGTTTTTTTATAACCTTAACCTCTAATCATTGAATGATTAGTGGTAATTCATCCTGCAAAAACTTAATAAATAGATTTTTTTTTTTCAAATAATGTGCGAAAGTCTCCGTAGCATGCACTATACAAAAAAATCGTTCTTTAATATCTTCAAAATTATTCATAAATTTTACATTTAAAGACATTTATTTTTTTAAAGAATTATCTCAAGCCTCATCAATCAAAAGAGAAAATCATTCATCTCTAATATCTACTAGAATAAAATTCTTCACCTTTGAACCACAAGCACTCATAATTTGTTCATGAATGTATAAAGATGTCAACTGCTTATTTTCTGAAGCATTTAAATAAATTACCGTTTTAACATTTTCATTGCTATCACCATATCACTTGTAAAACTCAAAAAATTACCATAGTGTATGGATTTTGTCGATTCATCATGGCCACAAAAAGCTAAGCCATTCCCTAAAGTATATTGAATCACTTTCTCAATTGCAGTCAATTGAGTATGATAAGTATCGTCCATTTCAGAACTTTTTTGCATCATAACATAATCTACATTGGTTCTTTGATTTTTATATCCAATACACATAGTGCTAGCAAAATTGTGTGAACTAAATATTGACCCTTGATGACTATTAATTTTTTTCAAAATCTTAAATCCAATTTCAGTAAATGCGGTATCCCCATATTTATCTTCATTAAAAATAAATAGCACCATAGACCATATGCAACATTGTAGATATGTACTCTAACCAATCATACGTCTTAAACCACTGATCTTGAAACAATATTCGAATCTCACCAAATTTTGTAATTGGAAAGTTATGCCCACGATGTTGACAAAGGCCCTTAGCCAAATATTTTCTTCGCAATTTGTCTCTAACTCTTACTAGATAACTATCAATCAATTTACATAATCTAAGATCTACAATAATATCATTTTCTGAAATCTGAATTTGTCATCATATTATTTTATTATTTCATTATCTTTGTCATTCCTGTATTTTGTACTAAATTTTTCACTAATTGAATTGAAACCTTTAGGTGCTTTACAAAAAAATCTCTTCATTCTAACAAAATATTTTAATAAAAATTATCTTATTAAAAACCATAAATTAATTTCAATTAAATTAAAAAATATATACCATTAGAATTAAAATAAATTAAATTAAATTATTTTTTAAAATATTTTTTATCACAAAATTTTCATCCAAAAAAAAAAAAAAAAAATCTAAAACTAAACACTCACATTCACATAACATAGTTCTAATTGTAAATACACAAAACATAACTCAAAACATACGTGTTATAACATTTAAATAAGTGTGTTTGGTTGGGGGATTGATTTTATTTTCACTATTCATCTAATTTTTTCTCCCCAAAAACATCAAATCAAACACTTATTTTTCATTTTTTATATTATATTAAAAATTAATTTTACATTCAAAATATCACATCAACACCTATTTATATCACATCATACAATTATTCAAATTCAAAATTTTTACTATTCAAATCCTAACTAAAAATTCAAACCCCCAAACAAACACACCCTATAGACCAAAACACATTTTTTAATCTCTTCATACGATAACACAAACAGTCAAACAAAATTCTAAAAAAATTTTAAAAAATAAATTAAAGATGAAATAAATCTATCTCAAATCCCAATTAAATTAAATTAAAATCCATTTATGAATCCTAAATTAGCCAAGGAGATAAATAAAGAACAAGATAAACATAAATAACTAGTAAAAATTAAATATATATATATATATAAAATAAAAAATAGGTGTTTGATTTGATGTTTTTGGGGGGAAAATTTTGGATGAATAGTGAGATTTTGTCCAAATCTCTCAACCGAACACACCCTAAGTGTGTTTGTTTGGGGGTTTGGATTTTGAGTTGGGATTTGAATAGTAAAAATTTTGAATTTGAATAGTTCTATAATGTGATGTTTTGAATGTAAAATTGATTTTTAGTATCCATATCTTTTCCAACGTCCCAATGTTACCATCTTCTCTTCAATTCAATATGCGATTGCAACTCTTCGACAGACATCGCACAGCGGCGGTCTGACATAAACTTGCTCATTCGGTTTCGAACTGCCGGTTCGTCGATTTTTGAACCTTCGATTACGGTTCAAACCAAACTCGGACACAAATCGAACCGAAACCATCGTTTAAACGGTCGGTTTCAATTTTGAATTTGTTTTTTATTTTTGAAAACGGTCGGTTTCAATTTTGAATTTGTGTTTTATTTTTTTTCAAAAATAAAAAACTAAGGTCACTTAGTTTTCGTGTTTAGAAATTTTGTGTTTTGTTGTAAGTTATTGAAAATTGTAAAAATATTTAATTATATTACCTTTGTCCACCGTGTATTTTATCCATTTATTCTTTGTAAGTTGATATTTGCATATTAATTATTATATCAAAATGTAGTACAAATTAAAGGAAAATAACAAAAATATTTTTATTAGTATTTTATAATACTAGTATAATGACATTTAAAAAAATTTATATAAAATGCAAAAAGTAAATGGATAGATACGCAAGTGGTGGAGATAGTATTATTTTTTAAAAAAAAAATGTATTATTATTAGAAACGATGGTCAATATTTTATGAAAGTGGATAAATTTAAAAACTCATTTATAATATTTATCATTATAAATAATTAAATTTAATTTATGTCTTTCATTTTCCAGTATTTACTTTTTGGAAGAATTTTATATAAAATATTATTTAAATTAAAAATTATGGGTGTTCTTTTTGTAAGAAACCTCACACAAATTTCCCACAAAAATGAGTATATTATACTTATTTATCATTTTAATATTATAACACAATTTCTTATATAAAATATTTTTTAAAATTATTTTACAAAATGAACGCACCTATATAATCACACTATATTTTTATTTTTTAATTATGTTAAAATTATTAGAATTAATTACTTTTTTTTTTGTTATCTCGTTACCATTTTACAATTGATAGAATAATCTTTTTAAGTATTAATTTGAAAATATAAAATATAAAATATTTAACATTAAAAAATAAAAATATATTTCAATATTTTATTAAATAAAAAACAATTAAAATAACAATGCATTACAAATACTACACAAATTAATTAAACTAATTATATTACTATATTTTTTTAACTGTGTGTTGTACATATATAATTTATGTATATAGCCCAGTCCATATCTCCTTGTATAAATATGTCGATGTATTCAAATTATTATTTTCGAGAAATATACTTTATACAAATTATTCCAACGTAATATCAAAGCCTCAATTTTTCTCCAGATAACTTAAGCACACTCCCCATTCCATTTTTTACCTTCCGGTGACCTTCGATCGACACCGTCCCCACCACCAAGTACGCCGCCGCGAGACTTGCCGGCATCCGAAAAATCACGGCGAATGGCGGCGTGTGGAGCTCTCACGCACCTGACAAAAATTTCGCCGTTGGACGCCTAGGCGGTGCGTAACGGCGTGTGTGGCGATGGCTGCTAGATATTTTTCCGGCGTTTTGCTCGGATTCGATTTTATCTTTCATGGTATAATTTGTTTTATCGTTTGAACACTATTCTGTGATCGTCAGTTCTTTTGTGTTTCGAATTTGATTCGATCTTCTGTTCGTGCTTCTGTCAGTTAATTTTTTATCTTGCGATTTCAGCTTTGGATATTATTTGTTATTGTTTATTTCTCTTTTGATATGGAAAAGATGGATCACCATGTTCCGATAAATATTACTTTACCTGGGGATAGTTATAATTTATGGACACAATCGATTAAAATCTTTTTGATAGGTAGGAAATTATGGCGGATTGTTACCGGGGATATAGTTAGGGATGGGAATAGGCCAGACCGCCTGTTAGGGGCCTACGGCCTGGCCTACGTGAGGCCTAGCCTGGTCAAATTTTTTTTTAAAGCCTTTTTATTTAAATAGAACATGCTTAGGCTTTAAAATATATATATATATTTTTAATTAACAGGTCAGCCTACTTAATATTATTATTTGTTTATAAAAATACTTTTTATAATTATATATTAAATTATAACTTTCTATCTAATAATAATATTTATTAAATAATTTTAATTATAAATTTATTATAAAAAATAGAATTTTTTAACTTTTGTATATATTAAATAATTGTTTATACTTTATTTATTTTTTATTTCTAACTAAATTTGCAGATAAATAAATATATAAAAATATTATGTAGTTTTAAAATAGGCTTCTAGGCCAGGTTAAAAAAAAAAATTCAGCCTTACCAGCCTATTTTCATCCCTAGATATAGTTGCTTCTATTGTTCCCATTTCTATAGGTGAAAGCGCGCCTACCCATAAAGCCGTTGAAGCATATATTGAAAATTTTGAGGATTGTGACAGTAAGAACCATCAGAGTCTTACCTGGTTGCAGAATACTTCCACTCCGGTAATACATGTGCAACTTGCCCAATTTGAAACTGTTAAGGCAACGTGGGATTTCTTGGCAGTCCGCTTCCATCCTATTGGTTTGGCGTACTATTATCAGCCATAAAGTACACTCCATGGTCTAAAACAGGAACCATGACAATTTTTCAACGACTTTCTTACGCAAGTGCAATCCATTTGGCTTCGGTTGGATCAGACTGAGATCAATCCTGATCATCTCCGCCTCATTCAGATTTTGATGGATTTGCATCCTGAGTATGAGGCAGTTCGTGCCTCCTTGTTACATTCGACACCAGCTTCCTACATTGGACGTGGCTATTCAGGATATTCTTTTTCAAGAAACTCGTTTTCACCTGGCCAAGGCTCCTCCACTTGATTCTGCTCTTGCAGTCACAGCTCGAACTCCTACTCAGAGTCGTCAACTCCACTGCAAACTATGTCAGTCTTCTGATCACAACTTCGGTCACTGCCCCAATGTGGAGTGCCATTATTGTCATGTTTTAGGCCATACTATACAGTATTTCCCTACTAGGCTGTCTCTCTCTGGCAGCAGTAGTTTCAAGCCTCGGCATGTTCGTGGATCTCCTCAGTCTAGTACCTCATTCGTCACAGCCTTTGCCACGCCTGCGCGTGCGCCTCCTACGATTCAGAACTTGGAGGCTCTTCTTACATCAGCTTGGTATTTTGATTCTACTTGTGTGTTTGTTTGGGAGATTAAATTTTAAATACACTATTTATCTCATTTTTTCTCCCAAAAAATATCAAATCAAACACCTATTTTTTATTTTTTATATTATACTAAAAATCAATCAACACCTATTTATATCACATCACAGAACGATTCAAATTCAAAATTTTTACTATTCAAATTCCAACTCAAAATCTATACCCCCAAACAAACACACCTTGTAGTAATCATATGACCTCGCCTTTTGACCTCTACATCAACCGCATCATCCCTACCCCCTATTATTACTACAAATGGTACCCATATGCGTATCACCCACACCGAATGTATATTCACTTCGTCTTTATCCCTTCCTAATACCTATTGTATTCCCTAATTAAATTTAAACTTGATCTCAGTTGGTCAATTAGTTGATCAAGGTCTCACAGCGATCCTCTTTTTCTGATGTGCAGGTTCAGGATGTACAAACCGAGAGGACCCTCGGAAAGGGCAGGAAGCCAACTTATTTAAGCTTGAGTCTTTTCAGCTCCCTCGTCCTTCTATTTCTGTTGTCACTACCTCTACACCATTCTTTCTTCAGTGACATCATTGTCTTAGTCATGCGTCCTCCAATAAACTCAGATATTTGATTAGTCAGGATCTTTTGGGTTATGTCAGTTTTAAGTCTTTTAATTGTGTGAATTATTCGTTGGGGAAACAACTTGCTTTGTCATTCTCTCATAGTACTTCTATTGTGAATACGTTGTTTTCATTAGTTCACTATATATTTTGGGACCTTCACCCGGTGTCTCTACGAATGATTTTCGTTACTTTGTCTTTTTTAATCGATGACTATTCACACTTTAAATGAATTTATTTTATGCAAAAGCGTTCTAAACTCTCCTCTATTTATACGAACTTCGCCAAAACGATAAAAACTCAATTTTCCTCCACCATCAAAACTCTCCGAACAGATAACACTTGAGTATACAAACCCTTCCCTTCTTCGTTTCTTCTCTGATCAGAACATCATTGTCCAGCATTCATATCCGTACACACTTATCCAATATAATAATAATGTTTCTAAAATTTTTGTAAGAAACAAACAAATAGCTAGATATATGATCAAAGAAATTTTTTCTAATTTGTTACAAAAGCTCCCAGAAGACCCATTAGACCCATTTGAAATGAGACACAAAGAATAATAAATAAAATATATATTTTTTAGTTTTAAATATTATAACAAAACTATTTTCCGTATATATTATTAAATTCAATATTTATTATATCACATTAAATATTTATTTGTTATTTAATAATCTATTATTTTCAACCAAAACTTAAAATGTATCTAAATACAATCACAATCGCTTCCAACAAATTCTGCATTTTGGAGGAAAATAATGCTGCAAAATATTGACACTAAAGCATAAATTAACTGTGTAAACCACAGGGTTAAATCAATAATCAAAGAAAAAAAAATAGAAGACTGCACTATTATGTACATGGAATTACTTACGGAGTAAGTGCTTGGTTATGAGCACCAAGATATACAAAATAATCATACAAAAAATAAAAGTTAATCGACAGCCTCTCCCTCACAGAGCTAAAACTTGGGGGATTCAGGTAAAAAAAATGAAAGAAAAAAATAAATAAACAAATGGAAAAGAATACATCAAAACATACAACAAGTCTCGGTACTGTGTTGTGTTGTCTGTGAGCAGAGATTGAATTTCTACAACTCTGCTGTAATTTCTAGAAAAACCATACTATGTTCTGTATAATTCATACTTCCCCTCTGTGTCTTCTCCTTTGGAACTCTTAAATAGCTCTCCATCATAATCACACGCACAAGTCAAAATCGAAATCAAAATCCAAGAGAGTATCATTCCATAAATAGTTGTCGTCTTCCGGTCTACCCGGCCTCAAGAAATCCAATCCGTTGTCTCGTGGATGCTCTTGCTCTCGATTTTGATCATCACCAAGGCTGTCGGGCCGCCGGGCATCTGGATGCTGCCATTGAGCTGATCCCACATTGCCTGAGGTAGAATCCAATTCTATGAGAAGCTCTTCGGCATCAAACATCTCATCCAATGGAAAGTTTTCCATGAATGGATAAGACCCGATGTTGTGACCATTGTAGCCACCCGGATCAGTTTTCTTTGGGCCAGTAAAGTTCCCAACATAGGCATCCATGTTCGAATCAACTTTAGCCTTTTCTTTTAATTCTTTGTCGGGTTCTGCATCGACTACTTCGTCTTTGATTGTGCTCATTGGAGTGCTCGCCTCATGGCACTGGCGTTCTTGAGTTTTCATCGGTGGAACTTCGGTCATCATAGATTTGACATCATCATGGCAGACTTCGGAGAGGCTAGAACTTGTGGACTCTGTAGCAGATGGAGCAGGCAAATCTTTAACATCTTCTACCTTGGAAGGGCTGTGATTCGGGAAATTAAGCCTTGCAGTTTGGCCATACATTGCTTTGGCTGCTTCGTCGTATGCTAAAGCAGCTTCTAGTGCAGTACCAAAAGTGCCTAACCAGAGCCTGCTTCCCCTGTGGGGCTCCCGAATCTCGGCAACCCATTTGCCCCATGTTCTTTGCCTAACCCCTCTGTATTTGCAATGATAATTCTCAGGACCTCCCTTCCCTTTCATACATCCCTTTTTTGATCCTTTTGCAGGAGCTTTGCGCTCCAATTTGTTGCCATTTTCAAGGGAATCAAGTTTTACGTTGTATTCCTTCCACATAGCGAGTGTTTCTGCAATACTTTTGTTGCCGCTCTTCCGGCTCCTTGATCTCCTTCTCTTTGTGTAATCAATGGGTTGAGAAACCACGTGAGATCTTTGATCCAACATAGCCATATTTGTTTATCTGTAGAATCAACAAAGTTCAAGTTATTACTGATAAGTGAAAAAACATATGGTTGCCAAATTCAATAAAAACAGCTGACTTAGAAGAAACGCTTGCTGTTTATCATTTCATCAAAGACACTGTTAAAAAAAAATTATTGAAACGAGAGAACAATTAGGTATTAAACAACGTTTTCGTGAAAGAAGATCAGCTACTATGCAATTTGTAAATCATCCAAAACCTCTTGCACTAAGAAAGCGATCATTTTCTCTTTGGAAGCAAAGCTCAGAGAATATCCAACTTTACCAAAACATAAATTAAAACGGCATACATATATGTATATGATAACAAGAGAGCTCTATTAAGCTTGCCACAAAAAATGATGCACAAAATCAAAATCGAAGAACAAAACGATGACATCTGATTCTCAAACACAGCCCGACGTACCTCTTCACTACCTCCGTTAGCGACGCAAGCTTGTGACTCCAAAACTACAGATTTGCACACAGGATTAAGAACAGGTTTACTAGGTGTTGAAATTGAAATGAGTTGATGGGCAAATGTGAATTGTGAAGCGAAATCGGATTAGGAGAGAGCGAATGGGGTATTTATATCTATCCTCGTCTAGATATTTCTGAATAGGGAGCATCCAGATTTTTCGATATGTTTCAGACGGTGACGTGGCAGTTCCTGCGCCGAGATTTCTGCACGTGTCACGTGAACCTTCTCGAACCACACAATTTTACTAGATGGAGAGAAGTACAGGGTTTCGTTTCTTCTTTTGCTTGGGAGCTAAGCAACAGTCTTCTCCCTTTAATTATTATTTAATTATGTTTTATTACATTTTTGACCTTACCAATTTGGTCAGCACTGCTATACTTGCCAACCGAATTCGTAAACCCGTTGGAAGGGCCGGCGGTTCACCGTTTTTTAATCCGATCGCCTTTAAGTTAAAATTAAAGTCAAATTTTCCACTCTTGGATTTCTATTACTCCCTAGCGATACAAATATATGTGTATTTGATCGGACAATGAAGTTTAATAAAATAAATTATTATTATTATTTTTATTTTTATAGTAAATAAATAATAAAATAATTAAAATATTTTTTTCACGATAATCAATATAGACATGACGCAATACAATATTATTTGAATCATACGCCTAATCGAACTGTTGGCTGTCCGGTTCGAAAATTTCCTTCGCGAAAAAACTGATGCGCTTTTTCACTTCCACATAATCGGTTTCTGCCTTCTGCAATTCGCCTTGATTGTTTAACGAATGGAAGAAAAAAAAAAAAAAAAAAAAGGTATATTCTATATGAGATTTAAAGAATATTAATATTATATTGATAGTTAGTAAAAAGTACAGATAAAAAATTTCTTTACTCTTGTGAGCGAATGTATTAGTATAAAAAGTAGTGACAATACTGTAATAAAAATGAAAAAATATGGATAGTTTTATAGTGATATAGTTATTTATGAAAATAAAACTATTATTTTGGGACGAACAAAAATGATAAAGAAGACTATTGTATTGGAATGGAGGGAGAAACATATATAAGTATATAGATAGTAATACTAATATATACCTATGACCTTTTTTTTACACTTGAAATGACTCTAATACCCTTATTTTTATTTATTATTTGCAACCTCGCATTGCTTGTCTATTGCATTTGTATATTTGTTTCAATTTTTGTTTCTATCCTATCCTATTGTCACTTATTTGATTTTTGGATTTCTATTATTATTTTATAAAATTTTACTAAATCTTTATTATTCATTAATTTTTTTAAAAAAATATCAAATCAAATACTTAGTTGTTATTCTTTATATTATATTAAAAATTATTTTTAAATTTAAAATACTACATCAATAACTATTTATATCACATCATACATCTATTCAAATTCAAAATACTTATTATTTAAATCTTAAAATCAAAATCCAAATTCCGAACATACATACCGATATTTGTTGTAATTAATAATATAGACATTTCAGATATTGCACTAACATTTCAGATATTGCACTAACAACTTCTTTGCTTTGTAAACAATTGTGTTCGTTTTGTGAAATAGTTCGAATATATATTTTTTATATGAAGTATAAAGAATATTTTTGTTTCAAAAAAATACCGTGTATTGTTTTTGACAAAAAAAATAATAATAATAATAAATTAATTAATTACTCATTCTCCCCTTAACAACCCACCATCCCCTGTTTTGCTTATATTTAATTATACTTTTAATAAAATTATTATGATATTCCTTAACATGAAAAATTGTATTTAATTTATTTTTGTGATTTTTGCGCCAATTATTTAAAAATATGTAATAAATTTAAGCAACAATTTATTATGATTATCAAGAACATAAACATTTTTTTGTTTAATATTATTATTCTTGTACGGTTTTATAAGTGTCTAATTTAAATTTTGTTCAATAACTATATTTCTTTTTTTTCTTTCTTACATAGATTAAGTCTTATTACTCATAAATAAATGATTTTAATAATAATAGAAATATATAGGGTTTGTTGTATATATGTATATATATGTATATTTATATGAAGTATAAAAGTTGAATAAGTAATATAAATATAATACTATCTCCGTCCAACTTTAAAGATCTTATTTATTTTTTGCATGTTGATTTTTAAATATTAATTATTATATCGAAACGTAGTACAAATAAAGAGAAATGACAAAAATACGTCTATTTGTGTCTTATAATATTATTATAATGATATTTGCACAAAAAATTATACAAATATAAAAATATTTTTAATATTAAATACAATTAAGCAAAAGATAAATGAGAACTTTAGAGCTGTAAGGAGGAAATATTTTTTATGAGATATTAATTTTTTATGAGATAATAAATATATATATACTCCCTCCGTCCCAAAACTATGGTCTTATTTGAGTTGGGCACGAAATTTAAAGAATATTGATATTATATTGATAGTTGGTAAAAAGTATAAATAAAAGATTTTTTTGCTCTTGTGAGTGTATTAGTATAAAAAGTAGTGACATTTTTGTAATAATAATGAAAAAGTAAGAATAATTTTATGGTGATATGAGTATTTATGGAAATGAGACTATTGTTTTGAGACGGACAAAAATGATAAACAAGACTATTATATTGAGACAGATGGAGTATTATATATTGATAATCGTATAAGAAAAATTTGTCGAAAGAACAAACATATAATTATTGATATTTTCATCGTAACAATATTTATTATTAAATTACTTAGTATACATAGAATGTTAGTAATTAAATTTTACAATACCAATATACATCAAAATTTATATTACAAAATATATCATCCGACGTGACGCAGCGTAGCGCGTCAGCGGGCCACTAGAGTATATATATATACACGAAATTGTGTGTTAGTGTTGAGTGGTGTATACTATATACTCCATCCGTCCCAAAAATACAATCTTATTGTGTTGTGCACGAGATTTAAAAAATATTGATATTATATTAATAGTTGGTAAAAAGTAAAGATAAATGACTTTTTTACCCTTGTAAGTATATTAGTGTAAAAAGTAGTAGCAATTGTGTAATAATATTGAAAAAGTAGGGATAATTTTATGATAATATGATTATTTATGGAAATGAGACCATTATTTTGGGACGAACAAAAATGGTAAATAACGCTATTATATTGGAACGGAGGAGTATTATTATATATTGTATGGTAAGTATATATATATATATATATATATGTATGGAAAGAGAGAGGTTCGAGAGAGAGATTGGATTGAGACAAGATTGACGACGTTGTTGTGATGTAATTATAGCAAGATATACAAGATTGATGATGTTGTTGTGATGTAATTATACTATTCCTTTGTACTACAAAAATTTATCTTTTTTTTTTTTCTGTTTTATATAATTTTTTTTTATTTTTTTGAAAATATCAATCATATGTGCTAATTATATTTTAAATTTTAAATTTTTTAAAATTTTTAGTTTTAGTTAAACTGTTTATTTATGTTATACAATAATTATTTTTACTAATACAGTTCTTAGTTACTTACTAATTATATTTTACGTAAATTTTTGTATATGCAGTAATATATCCATATTACATGGACGAAATGAGTAAGATATAAGAATTAAGAAACAACTCTATGGTGTTTGTATTTTATTTCATATTTATGAGTGTTATCCTAAAATTTTATTTTGAGAATAATTATTGGAGACAGTTCAATTAACAAAGATAAGACAAGCAAGTACCAAGGAGTGGTAATTTTAGAAGAAAAAAAAGGTCCATATTAAAATTCAGTTGAAGCTAAGGTCCAAACAGATTTGATTTATTTGATATTGAGAGATTATGGATAAATCAATACGTAAAGCTAGATTAGAAAATAGTGTTATATATATATATATATATATATTTGTAAAGCTTAATTATTTTGAGAGTGCCTACACCATATTTCTGAGACTAAAATTTTATGCAGCTTATTTTCTTTTCATTACTTTTTTCTTCATGTAGAGCCTATCTCGTTTCTTTTCTTTTTCTTGTTTTACTTTTGTTTTTTTTTTTTTTTTTTTTTTTTTTTGCTTTCCTAAGTTTCTTGCTACTTTTTCCTACTTTCTTTAAACTTTCCTTCTTTACATCCCTTTTATCAAACGTTCTGACGTGGTTCCAGATATTTTTTGGAAGAAGTCGAAGAATTCACCCAATTTTCAGTTCATTCGCTCCAATAAATTGCTGAAACATATTTTGAGCGACAATAATAGGGTAAGTTGAAGAAAAAGTGTAGTATAAAGTAGACTGCGTAGCATCCACTTAATGACTATACAATTTCTACTACTTTATGTCTTTGTATAAGTTATTTAGTGCATAATACCCTTTGGATACTTTATAATATGTGTAATTAAAATCTTATTAGAAAAAACTTTGTGAAAAAAAAAAAAAATCTAATGAAGAAAAAAAAGTACAAGATTTTTGTGAAAAACTTTATTTGATGTCTTCTAACCAACGTATTTCAATTTCTCACACAAATTTGTTGAATGTTATAGTCGGTAGCTTTGGTTAATAAATTTGCAAAATTTTCAAAAGTTTGAATTTATTGCATATTAATTTTACCATTTTTTTTTAAGATCGTGAGTGAAAAAAAAAAAAAACTTTTGGGATATGTGTTTTGTTCGATCGTCTTTAATATATTCTCTTTTTAACTAAGCTATACAAACTGCATTATCTTCAAATGAAATTGTGGGAGGTAATGCATCATCAGATTTCAAGCCATAAATTTTTTTAATATGGCGAGTCATTAACCTTAACCAAATGCATTCACGAATAGCTTCGTGAATTGCTAAAATTTTAGCATGGTTTGAAGAAGTTATTGTTATCGTTTGTTTAACAGATCTTCAATAGATTGTTGTCCCACCACAAGAAAATAAATAGCCCATTTGAAATTTTGTTTTATATGGATCAGAATGATAACCAGCATCAACTTAACCAATTAATTCATTTCGAGATTCACTCGAATAAAATAAACCGAAGTCATATATCCCTTAAAGATAACGAAAAATGTGGATGATATCATTTCAATGACACTTTATGGG